GCCCGCCCCCCCCCCCTTCCTGCGGGCCGCTGCCAACGCCCATTTTGCTGCGATGCAAGCTGCTGCACCCTTCCAGCCACCTGGAAACCCCTGCTTTCACTTTTTGCGACACACCTACCCACGCCCACACAGACCAGCTCACCCGCTTTCGTCCTGTCGCCCCACCCTCATCCCCACCCACCTCCTCCATCAGCTATCATGCCCGCACGCTCGATGCGCCGCCCCAAGCCTCGTTGGTGGTCTACCTCTTCGCGCCTTCCGACGATGAGGAGCAGCTGCTCGCCAGCTTCCTCACGGCTGCGCAGTACCTGGGGCCCCTGCTGCCCGGCGACGCTGACGAGGACGGAGGCGGACCGCAGCAGCGCAAGGCGGCCGGCCTGGGCGGCGACGAGGCGGGCGGCGCGGGCGCCGGGGCCGGCGGCGGCGGAGACGACGGTGGCGGCGCGCCCGAGCTTCTGTCCCAAGCGCCGGCCGGCAGGGTGGCGGCGGCAGCAGCTGCGGCGGCGGCGCGGCGGCTGCCGCGCGGCTCGGCTCTTGAGATGCTGCACGGCGGCGCGACCTCGGCGTCCCAGACGCCCGTGCTGCCGCCGCCCGGCGCGGCCCCTACGGCCGGGGCCCTCCCGCCCCCGCCGGCGACGCGGGACCCTTCAGGCCCCTCCGCGGCCATCCCCGGCGCCGCTGTGGCGGCGGCCGCGCCAGACGACGCGAAAGCGCGCGGCGGCCGCGAGCTGTACCGCGCCTCGACCGGCCCCGCCCACGCGCCGCAGAGTCTGGCGGGCCGCGGCGGGGCCGGCGGGCTGGACGTTGCTCTGCAGGTGGTGCGGCGCTCCGCGCTGGAGTCTGCGGGGGAGGGGGAGCTGCGGGGGCTGGCGCTGGGCGTGTACACGCGGGTGGGTGTGTCGCGGGCGCCTTGGCGGGGGCCGGGCGCGTGCATGCGTGCGTCGTTCGCGGGGCGTGTCGGCAGGGGGTCGATCTACGTAGGGTTGGTTGCATGGGGCGCGTGTGTGCATTCAGGTTGGCCCGTGGCACATGGCGACTTGCAGCGATTGGTGGGAGTGGCCGGGCTGGGCCGCAGGACGGAGCGGGGCAGGGCAAGGGCACAAGGGGGTCGAGGGGACGCCCCGCAGGCCGAACGACTCCACTGGCTCGCAGCCCTGGGCTGGGCCAGCGCAGCCGGCCACATGCCTCCCTGATGACTTGCACATCAAACTGCTGCCGCCGCCGCCCGTACCGACGCCATCCCCTGCAGGTGAGGCGGCGCCGCCGGCCCCCACAGGCTGACCCGTCGCTCTTCCCTCACGGCACCGCGGACGCCGCGTTGTCGGATGCGTCAGACGCTGCAGCCTGCCGCGCTGCAGCGCCCTGGGCGGTGCAAAGGCCCGGCGGCGGTGGCGGCGGGGCGGCGTCGCTGCTCACGTCCCCTAGCCCAAACGCGGGGGCTGCGCGCCCGCCGGCGCCGCTGGACGGGCAGGCGCTCTATGCGCCGCCGTTCGTTCTGCCGCCGCCGCCGCTGCCGGCGCCTGTGGGGCGGGAGCTCGGGCTAAGCGAGGCACAGCAGCATCAGCACCAGCAGCAGCACCATCAACAGCAACAGCAGCAGCAGCAGCACCACAAATCTCAGCAGCAAACTCACCATTCAAGTCAACCGCAGCAGCAGCAACAGCAGCAGCAGCAACAGCAGCAGCAGCAGCAGTCTGGTGAAGAGCGCACACTGCACGTGTGTGCGGCGTGGAGCCCCCTTCCAGTGAGCGGAGCAGCAGGCCGACAGGGTCACCAGCACAATCAGCAGCAGCACCAGCAGCAGCAGCAGCGAGGCTTTCTCCTAGCACTGTCGGCCACAGACTGCCGAGGGGAGCTGCTGTCCACGCGGATCCTCCCCCTCAGCGGCGCCCGCAAGGCTCTCGCCCTGGCCACACCCATGCCGCCACCCGGCGCGCCCGCGCGCGCAGCCGGCGGCGAGGCCGGCGCCGCCGCGCGC